AGCTCACACAGGAACTGAGCTGAACAACTTAGAAAATGGCTCTGGTGGTTTTATTTAAGGGGGGTACATCAAAGGCAGGGATAAGGTTTCAGGGGTGGAGTCTTGCTTCATGGTGTCTTTTAGTCAACAGGTTGATTGGCATCTTGGCAGGCTACACCCATCTCTGAGAGGCTGTATGGCTAGGTGGCTGCAGCAGATCACCCTATCTCTGGCGCTCTGTGGGACCTGACAGAGCTGAATAGGACTGATGTATCTGGGTGATCTTGCCAGCAGGATTGCCACTGGAAGTTTCCAAATACCTGATTTTCCTATTCAAAGGACTTCCATGCTGAATTGGTCCACATATAGTCTACAGATGGCTCTTGTCAGAAGGGATCTGATAGTAGGCTGTAGTCGTGAACATATAATCACTAATGCTAGAAATTCTAACAGAACATTTTTAGTTTTACTCAAATAATGCTTCCTTTTTCTGCTAAGCAATACATATAGAGGGTTTACGTAGCCAGGCTCCATTGGACATGCCTGTAATCCCAGCAACTCGGGAGGCTGAGGCAGGAGGAGCACAAGTTCAAAGCAAACCTCAGCCATTTATGGAGGCCATAAGCAACTCAGCAAGATCCTGTCTCTCTAAATGAAATACAAAAAAAAAAAAAAAAAGAAAGAAAAAAGAAAAAAAAGAAATGGAGATGCGGCTTAGTGGTTAAATGCCCTGTGTACCTTGGTACATATCAATAACCTAATCAATATTTCTTTGAGAATGAAATTTTGGGGCCTTTGAGAATTTGCTGAGATTATAGCTCAGTGGCAGACTATTTGCTCAGCATTGTGAGGCTATGGATTCAAGCTCTGGCACTGTTAAAAGTAAATAAAAACAATAAATAAAATTAACATTATTTGTTTATGGTGCTGAGGCTCAAACCCAGGGCTTTGAACACACAAAGCACATATTGTACCACTGAGCCTCAAGCCTAACCCCCAAATGTACTAAACTATAAATTGCATATTATAAATGTTATCAATGCTTAAGAGATTTTTCTCAATATAGCTCATTAAAGAATGACACGGTTATAAACTGAACTTATATAAGTCTACAAGAAATGGGGAAGGTATGTGTTTATGATTTGTTCCTTCCTTCCTTCATCACACATATGCAGAACATTTCTTTCTCTTCTCACAAAGAAAACTTGAACATCTCACCTTTCCTTACCCTCAAACAAACCCTTCCAATAAACCAAAGCCAAACATCCAGAAAAATCGTTTCCTTATGTTTTGTCAGAGGTATGAAGAAAGAACCATGCATTTTAGGCAGCTGTGGGACATGCTGTCATAATGACATGTCCCTTGTGATACTGGGTCTTTGAATGATTAAAATGATTCTTCGTCTATTTGAATGATGTCACTCTGTTGCTGTTCCTCTGGCTATTTTGCTTTTAGACTGCAAATGTGTTAAAAATTTAAGTCCCAGCTTGAACTTTTATTTATGCTGAGCTCAGCCCTGTGGATTGCCTCATTATACAGTGCCTGCAGGGGTGGCACTTCTGGGCATGCAGCCAGCACTCCTGGGTCAGCAGGAACTATTTCGGCTCAATTTAGAAAGCAAAAGAAAGGGATCTGGTTGACCTACAAGCGCCAACTCTGCAAGAATGATTGTTCACCACTATGGTGATTATTCACAGCTTGCCCATCTTCCTGAGAAAATAAAACCTTCTTCAGGGACTTTCCCCCTCCTCTAAATGAAAGAATCCATTCTTGGTTTCTTGTAAAAATAAAAAAAAAAATACTTTTTACAGAATATCAGAAGACTTCTTATCCGGTCAATTTTTAAAAATTTGTAGAAGATTGTTTGAGGGATCCATGCAATAACTTATTTTTTTACATCCTAAAAGAATGACAAGGTAAAACTGTAGAGATGGATTCACCAGGAACCCCCTCTAATCTCATTCACTCCCTCTTTCCCTTTGTTCCTTGAAAATGATCTTAAGGATTGCTCAGTTCTTCAGGCTGTCCCCAACATGTTACATAATGACCATGACCTCTGTGGAATTGGCATTCCAAGAGGTTGGAATTTAGCCCTTCTACTGATTACCAGATCTTTTCCATAGGTGAGTCCATAATCTAGCTATGAGTCTTGCTTCTCCTTTCCTCATTTTACTTGAGTGACTTTGGTGTCTATTTGTTCTCTATTGCTGCCATAACAAGTTACCAAAAAGTAAGTGGCATCATGCAACTCAAACATAAAGATTTTACAGTCCTGGAGGACAGAAGTCCTGAAGGAGGTCTCACTGGGCTAAAATTAAGTGGGCAGGGCTTCATCCCTAAGAGAGGCCACAGGGGAGAATTTCTGTCTTGTCTTCTCCGGCTTCTAGAGGAGCCCACGTTCCTTGGCTCATGCCCCCTTCCATTTGAAATCCAGTGATGGCTGGTTTAGCCATTCTCAGGATGCTTCCTGCTGATACTGACCTGCTTCCCTCTTCTACAACTAGAGAAGGTTTGTGATGACATGGGGCCCTCTTCGCTAATACAGGATAATCTCTTTAAGGTTAGTGTTAGGTCCTTAGGCCAAAGTAAGTCCATTTTGAGAATCAGCACCTGCCCACCCAGGCATGACCTTCCTGTTAGGCCCACCCCCAAAGACTCCCTGAGTACTGAAACTGTAGGAAAGACCCCCAATAACAATCACAGGGCCAGATGGGTTATTTTTTAACTAATCCATTTTATGTGACTATATAGTTAAGAAGTTTATTTATTTTTTTCCCCAGCAGAAGGGCAGCCTGCAGATATTCTCTGTCAATAAACCTTTGCTTGAACTTAGAGATGTGTCTCTCATAGATATTAGCATCAGCTACCCTGAAAGCGAAGCAGCAGTGGAAGTGTCATCAGGAGAGTGAAAGGAGATAATGTTGGGGATGAGAAAGGGCCAGCCTCGTGGAACGTTCTAAGCTGCAGTAAAGACCTGGGATTTTATGCTGTGTGAAATGAAGAGCTGTTGGAGGGTCTCAAGCCTAGAAGTGATATAATTTTATTTAAGTTTCAAAAAGACCCCTACAACAGATTGTTGGGCATGAGTACTAGCAGAGACCAATGAAGAGGCTGTTGTCATTGTTGGAATGGAGAAAAATAATTTTATACAAGCAAAATCTTAGATGTCTTCCTTGGGAGAAAATTAACCAACTCAGCCACTAACAAGCCCAGCGGGAAGACTACCACATGATGGTCCTTCCCCTCATTACAAGACCTTGAATCCCTAGAGGCCAGAGATTGTGACATCCCTTCATTCCTAGGGCTTAATATAGTGCCCGACATGGAGCAGGTACCAGAAAGGCTGAATGATGTACGTAACCTGGCCATGGCTAGATATTTGGTCTTTTTTTTTTTTTTGGCTCAATAGTGCGTTAGCATGCTCATGCACTTTGTACTAATCCATTTAGATCTAAGGGATATTTATCACATTTTCATTAATTACATTAAAAAAAGAAGAAGAAGAAGAAAGGAACAGAAACCATCAGTCTTTATTTTCTTTTTCTTTTTTTCTCGTTGATTTAAAATATATATATATATATATATATATATATATATATATAT